ATTCTCATAATTTAAAAGGCTTCTTCAAATTATACAGAAATGTAAATTACAGTAATAAATTTGCAAAATATATTGAGATTATCATACCCCATACCTTGTGTATTTCTTTCTTTCCATTCCATATTGACTCACACATCTTATAATTTCTTTTATTTAAAACAAAGAAAAATAGAGGGGGTCCATATGCAAATATATCAGTAACCCAGAAAGATAGAACAATCAACATCTCAGACTAGGCACATGAAGACCAAGGACCCAGCTCACTCCTCCCAAACTATGACATTATGTCATTGACCTATATCATTGTCCTTGCTCCTTATCCCTTTGCCTCTGAGGGAAGTTGTGTATCCCCAGGAGGAAAACAAGGAATCACCCTTGAATTAATTTCAAATTTCCATTATCAGAGAAAATAGGGACTCAAGAGAGAAATTAAATTCAGTAGGGGAAAAAAAAGCTATATTTTGGCTCATCTGAGTTTATGGCCTGTGAGAGATGAAAATCTACAGCAATGAGCTTTTCCTTCACCAGCTGTGATGGAGGAAAGTACAGGTTAACTCAAGCAATGATCTGCAGCAGGCATCGTCATGGAAAGAAAATCCTAGAGAGGTGCAGGTTCTGCTCCTAAGTTGCCTTCTGCATCTAAGGAAGAAGCATTGTCAGGATTCAGGCATAAACCTCAGCAGCCACTTGAAGGAAGAATGGGAGGAATCACAAATCATGACCACATAACCAGCAACTTTCATAACATTATGTAAAAGCACCAAGCACTTATTTTCTCAACGTCATTAACATTTCCTCCTGTCATTTTGTAAACAGATGGCATCTTCTTGCTGGAGATACAACTGGGGTTTGTGGAAGAAAGCATGGTTTTGTCTCTAATGATTATTCCCAATCATGAATGTTGTCGTTTTCTTTACTTTTAACACAAATCTCACTGCCATGTTCTGTTACAGAATATACTGTAACCCACAGGATGCTGACAAGATGTTGACTAGCACTAAATGACTAATTATTAACTAGCAACCACGGTTACAGTTATCCAACTGAGGATATCCACTGGAAAAGATTGAGGGAACAGGGTCTAACTAAGAATAAAAGAGTAAAATAAAGTCACTGAGCTAAGATGAACCTCTAGATAATGAGTCCTGAACAGAGGTCAGTGTGACGCATACATAAACATACATGAGCTTCTCTCTGCTGTGGTAATGGATACACTCACATGCATGCACCTCTGTGCTTACTTTAACCAAAGGGTGACACATTCTAGAAATATAAAAATGACCAAAAATAGAAAATAGCACCTCTCATAGTGATGCCACTACCCAAATACCCATGCCAGGTCCACCACTGTACAGACAGTATCCTGGGTCAGATGCACTATGGCAAGGATGAAAAAAAACAGTACAAGTATTCTAAAATCTTTACCTGTTCAGTGTCTCCATAAACTGTTCTGCTATAATCTTTGAATGTTCTATTGCTCTCATTTATGATGATTTTCATCTTTACAAGATCATGTTTCCAAGATACTATAATGATACCCAACATTAATAAAGCAGACTTATATACAGACTTCTGGGTATGGACTAAAAGTCTATGTGGCTATTCCCATATATATATCCCAATAGCACAAAACCACAAAGCTAGTTATAATGTACAAGCACAAAATTTTCTATGAATCAATAAAGCCCTGAAAACTTTAAAAGGCCCTTTCTAGAAGGAGTGATTGCTGAAAAATAGTGCTCCAGTAAACTTGGACGCTAGTGACAAAACATTCTAAAGATAAAGACATGATACTCTGTTTCACCCCTCTGGGGAGTAAATCATTTTCCTCCTGACATAGCACAAAGAGGATATTTAGCCCCACATTCTCCCATTTCTCTGGAGAGTTTTAGACATGACCTTTCAACCCTAACGGGGTGAGGCTGCTGCCTCCTAAGTGTCCCAGGGATTAGAAACACAAGATCCCAAAAGAATTAACCAGGCAGTGTCCTGCTATGTTAGCATTAAGCGCTGTACTATTATGAAAAATGCAGTTCCTAACTGGGAAAACAAAAAGATAAGGCTGCTGATTAACAACTCATTCGTTTTTGCAAAATCACTTCCAAAAAAGAACTTGGTTTAGATAAAAGTTCACTAGCTGACTCTAGATCCATATTTTGCAGTAGACATTTCTACGTTCTCCTTTTTTTCTATAGGAAATTAAAAATGAAATAGAAAAACAGAAAGGAAAAAAAACTGACCTGATTTCAATTTCTAAATGGGTTTTCAAGGGTTTTTATTATTCCCTACATCCTATCACATATCTACTGCATGTTTTTCATCTTCTCAAATGAAAGTTTATTAGATCTTCTACATAGTGGAAATTTAAGCAAAAACCTCACTGCCCTGTCCACTGATCTCATTGTGGGACTAACTGCCATCATTCTGAGTGTCCTGTGCATTCCCCAAATCCACAGCTCAATTTTTCTCCAAGTCCAGAACAGCCATGTCCACTCCCCACCATTCTGTAGCTGCCATCCTTCCCTGAATTCACAGTCCCCTTATTCACAGGCAAATGGGATCACCTTTATTCTTTCCATTCCAATGTCTTTGTATCTTTGTTTTTCACAAGGACCCCAAAACAGCACAGCCCAAGTACACAGCTTTCTGAAGAGCTCTCTGAAGGGGTGGTTGGGTAAAATACAAAATATCCAGGGGCAAACTGGACTCCACATCCTTTAGGCAATCTTTCTATGAGTATTATTCTTCACAAATATGCTTTTGCAGGAACTGAAAAGCGAGCTCAAGGTGGTGGGCAACATATGAAGTACAAACATTTTTAAAAGAATGAGGCAGACATAAGTTTTGACAATGAGATGGCCCTCCTCTTAAGAGTCCAACTTTTAAAGTCCTCTGTAATCATTAAAGGAGCTTTCTCTACCTATACAATATGACTTCCCACTTTTCCTTCCAATGAATTATCCCTAACATTATCATAATCATTATATTTAAGGGTTTCAAATACTGGCTGCTTTAATTACTATCTTATCATATATATTACTATGTTGCCAGCATGTCGATCTTCATTTGGAATTAGAATGTGCAGCATGTCAAATGTCCATAACCACTTATTAGTTAAAAAAAAAAAGTTCCTTTGTCCAACTTGTAACTTCTAAGAGGAATCTTGAGTACTTTGAAATTCATATGTGACCATTTCTGCTGCTTTACTGAACAAACACTTTAAAAGCTTCACTTTGAAAAGTTTCATTTACTCCCTGTTAATTAGCTTAATTATTTTTTTCCTTTGAGAATCTAAAGAGCAGCTGGAGTATGCAAACTGCTGCCACTGGAGTGAAACGATTTGGTTTAGGGCTTTTATAGGGGGTGGAGTGGCGTGTTGTTGTTGTTTTGTTTTTTACTATTCTGACCAGATAATATTTGTTGGCAAAGACTCTCAAAAACTGGCAAGAGCTATAATTTAGACATTTGAACCATTCTCCCTAGCTATATAAGAGTAATCCAACCTTCCAGCACTAAGATGCCCTAACTCTCAAAGATTTATACCTTAGGAAACTAAAAAATTTGCCTCTTAGAGTAAACACATGGGTTATGAATTATTAATTATACAGAATAAGGCTCTGGGATCAAAAAATTAAACTAAACCCTAAAACTAATAAATAATATGTTCCATATTTGTGTCAGATGAGAGAATGTGGAAAATTTAAGTTAGGGTCATGACAGGTAGAATCAGAAAAGCCAAAGTCCACTTTCCAGATTCATGAACAAATACTTAAGTAAAGGAAGCCTACTGCATAATGAGGTCTGTCCTTCTGATTCTAACCCCCCCGGGGGGGGGGGGGAAGAGTTTATAGAATGATAAAGAGATTCTATATAAAAGAAAACTTTCCAGGTAGGTAGGTAGGTAGGTAAGCAGGTAGGCAGGTAGATAGATGTGTGTGTGTGTACATTTTTTTTTAGACTTCAACATAATTAATAAGACAACCTTTCAGAGTAGTAATTTAATACTTGAAAATTTTTCAGAATTGTATACCTGAAAATCCTTAAAATATCCTCACCAATAAAATTAAATAAAACCAACTGTAACATAAATTTTCAATTCAACTAGTAAAACTGGATGACTAAGGCTTGGCAGGTATCAAAGAATTAGTTAATACAATATAAAATGATATAAATGTAAGTTTACTATAAATGACAAAAATAAGTTAATAAATCCAAGCTTCACTGTTTTCAATTTAAATTGAATGCAAGAACTCTTTTTTAAAAACTCTAACATACTATTTTCCAGCTATACCTACAACTACTTTAAGAGAAGAAAAAAAGACATGAATATATACTGTTTAACGTCTTCTAATAGAAATTTCATGTGAAACATCAGTCCTGAGGTTACTAACGACCTCAAATCCATCAACAAATTGTGTTTATTACTTACAAATTTAAAGGAGTATTTCCTGCTTTGACTGACACACACACACCCCACCATTAATCTCAGGCACAGCAAAACAAACTGAATACCAAACCAACCTATACTGTACATCGGTAAGTGTGAGCAACACAATTAAAAATTTTGCACCAGTTATTTCATTTTCTGACTCAGAGATAGTTTTTTATAGGTTAATAATTGTTTTGAGAAACTCAGTACCAATTTGATTATATAAAGAAATAGATATTCTAATTATGATCCACACATTCACCTATATTGAGAACTTTGGGCACATTATTAAAGTCACAAAGAAAAACTAAACTTCTATAAAAGTCATGATCTTTACTGGTGTTCAGAAAACAAAGAAGTAGCTTTAAGAAAAAGTACCACCATTCATCTCAAATATCATCAACTATATGAGACCTCAAGACACACTGGTTTGAAAAAAAAAAAACATTCTTATAAACAGTTAAGACAGATTAATTTCATCTATTTCCTAGTAGTAAGACTTCCCCCAAAGTTAGTAAAACAGAGCTATTCAATGTTAGCCTTTTGTCACGAAAGACAATTGCTGCATCACTTTGCAAACATGATAAATTCATTTTATTTGTCAAATAGCTGAATTCCACTCAAGTGCACTTAATACAGTACTAAATTGATTGAAATTAAAGAGATTTCCAATTGGAAATGGGGTTTTCAAAAATACTAATGTTAATTTCAAGTTGTTTCATTGAACATAGAAAGCACATAATTTGTTTCCAGCATCTCAAAAAGATTATATAGTCCTTTAATGTATCAAAATAGAAGTGAGAAAATATACTGCTAAAATCTGAAGTACAGTTTGAAAACTTAAGACAGATTTAATCAGATCAATTCAAACTATGGTTAAAATGCAATGGGACAGCTTAGGAACTGACAAAAGTTTCAAATTAGTCACATCTGCTGAGAAAACAAAAATGCAGGTATTTGCAATGTTTACATTGTGTTGTATTTTTTAGACCCAAACAAATTTTAAGTCCTGAAATCCTAAACATTCAACTTCTAAAAACATTCTTGGTTACGGAAGGGGAATTTAAAAATCCAGCAGAATTATATCTAAAATGAGGTTATTCTTTCTCCTTTTATAAAATACTTTTGCCCCCCCAAAATTATGCACAGATAAACATTCAAAATTTTCAATCTTTTTTATAAAATTGAAGGATCACTGCTCTTGAAAAATATCCCTCTATCTTCTTGGCTTTATTCAGTGTTCCTTTTCTTCCAAGAGCTTTGCTACAGATGTGGATCAGCCACAAACACTGATGTTTTCTGACTGTTCCTTTAGCTTGAAGCAGCAACCTCATCAGATACTGACTTGGGCTTTGATATTTACTTCTGGTAGGATTCTCTAACTTTTGCCTGCAGCGCATCACATGTCTTCTTGGCATCACCTAGAAGCATGGCTGTGTTGGGTTTGTAGAAGATTGGATTGTCCACTGCAGCGTAGCCAACACCCAGAGACCTCTTCATGACAATGACCTAAGAAACAAAGGTTAAATGAGAGAGTGTTTTTAACAGACCTGGTTAGGGACTGCTGGACACACAAACAGTGCCCTTCCCTAACTTTGCTTTTTGTTGTTATTTTTTATAATTTGTCCACTTCTCTTTTTTATTTATACGCTATATAAAAATGTTAAAATTACACGTATTTATAGGGTATTAAGTGAATTTTAATACATGCATATGCTGTATAATGTTTAAGTCAGTCTTATCATATCTATCTTCTTCAATGCTATTTATTTTTGGTGAACACATCCAAATTTCTTCCTTCAAGTTTTTTGAAATATATAGTATGTTACTGAAAGTTACCAAACTGTGCAACAGCATACCAGGTCTTCACTACTATGTCTTCAGTACAGGGACTTTTTAAATATATCAGGAGTGTTTTTAAATGTATTTTTTTTTTTTTTTGTCCAAGGAGACGCGGCCACTGCTCCAGGGGTGGTTTGGTGCTGCCTGGCACCAAGTGGCATTAACGAGGCTACCCAGAGCCTGAGAAGGACCCTCCATCCCCCGGGGCTCAGCAAGCCCCAGGTACCCACTTGCCCCGTGCTGGCATGCATGGGCACCATTTACAGTTGACCAACTAAGGCCCCAGAACAATCATGAAATGCCAGCAGAGCAGAGGCCCTGCAGGAGCCTGTGTCCGCCAGGGCCTGGGGAATGGGACGGCCAGGGTCACACACCTGAGGAAGCTGCAGCTGCTTCCAGGTCCTCAGGGCCCCGAGGCACCCTCCTATCTGCAGTTGCCCTGTCCCCCCAACTCTACTTTCACCCTGCCTTGCAGTCCCCAGGACACACACGGGAGCCAATAGCCACAGCTTGACCAATGTGCAGGGGATGCTTTCCTTCCTCTCACCCCAGGAAATTTCAGCTCCTCACCCCATGCAGGTCAGACCCAGGGGCCAGGTGACCATCCCACTTGGCCCCTCCCCACACTGGTCCCTCCAGGGACTACTCGGCAAGTCTGGAAAGTGACCGCCATTTGCTCACATGCCACAGCAGGGACAAAGGCCCAGAAGGTGGCAGGGACTGAAAACTCAACCCCCAGAGCTGCTTAGGGTGGATGTCGGCTCAGGACCCCTCCCCATCCAGGAGAGACCAGGCCTCCCGTCACAGCTGCAAAGGTGAAAAAGGGAGGAAGGAGCCCACTGGAACCTTCTGGGCACAGGTGGCTCTAGATAGGGCAGAGGGGTTGGAGGGGAAGAGAGGGGGCATGGGGTAATTAATGATGGTGGAATGTGATGATCATTACTATCCAAAGTACATGTATAAAGACACAAATTGGTGTGAATATACTATGTATACAACCAGAGATATGAAAAATTGTGCCCTATATATGTAGTGAGAATTGTAATGCATTCTGCTATCATATGTAAATAAAAAAATTTACATAATAAAAATGTATTTTTCTTTTAGTTCTAGAAAGATACAATACCTTTATTTTGTTTCTTTATTTTCATGTGGTGCTGGGGATCAAACCCAGTGCCTCACATGTACTAGGCAAGTGCTCTACCCCTGAGCTAAAACCCTGGCCCCTTTAACTGTATTTTTACTTATATCAATGTTAATTTTTAATGTGTGACCATACTCATAAATTCCTACTGCAAATCCTAAAATAAATGAGGTTGAGTGGAGAAATGATATTCTATTAAAGAATATCAGAGGATGGGGTTGTGGCTCAGCAGTAGAATGCTCGCCTGTCACGTCCAAGACCCTGGGTTCGATTCTCAGCACCACATAAAAATAAATAAATAAGATAATTGTTTTTTTAAAAAAAGAATATCAGAAAGTTCTGGGACAAAAATCTCAAAAAACAATCCAGCTTCTCTCGAGGACAGAACTAATCACTAACAAAATGCTCCTACAAAGCACAATAAAAGGGGTAAGTCAATCCGTATTGATATGCTATAGACATTTCTAATGACATGTGTTATGGATACTGTCCTGATGAATGTCTAGTCAGTTATTAATGAAATGTGAACAGTGAAAATATATCCATGCACTGCATGAATAGTGAAGTAATGCATTCTGCAAATTCAAATATCAATTACTGAGGCCCTAATATTTTATATGAACATGAACAAGTATATTTTATATCCCACACTAATCTCAAATACTGTTTTAAGCTCATATATTTACAAAAAATGAAACAAAATTATGCTATATATTTTAAAATGCAGATGTGATTCAGGAGTATTAAAGAGGTATACCCTCTGCTGGGACAGAAGAAACTTTATAAGCCTTTAAGTTCTCCAAAATCTAGCAACTAGCTTTTTTCAAAATAATGTGCATGTGCAGAGCTTGCTTCCTTATGCCATGTTATTGTTTGGATTTCTAAATCACCTTTCTGCTAGACACTCCATAACAACATACAAATTCCCTTTCAAAAAAATTAAATTAAAAAAATGTGCTTGTCTTGGTATATGAAGGCGATGATGCTGACTCACTGTCCCAGAGGGAAACCATCTGCTTCACTGGACTCCATCTGGAACCTGGCCAGACTCATTCCAAAAGCTCACAGCTCTTTTTTCAGCTGTGGTTACGGATTTTGTTAGTCCATCCACATAATCTCATCTGGTTCTACTCATGATGAAGCTTTCTCTCAGGTTCTCTGGTGGCCAGAGCATAGACAGAAGCTGGATACAGAGAACCAGGCTCTAAACACATACTTAATTCTGGGCCTCCTAAAAGGCATCATTTTTCTCATCAAGTGACTAAAGAAAGTTCTGTGTGCATATTTTAAGTGACCTTTGATCATCAGAATGAAATACAAGTCTGAAACTTTACCTGCTTTGATTTCCAGACCTCAAGGACTGGCATGCCTGCAATAATAGAGTTGGGATCTTCCTGAGCTGCTGAATTAACAGTGTCATTAGCTCCAATTACAAGGACCAAATCAGTGTCTATGTGAAAAGAGAAAAAACAGAAAATATAAAAACCAAAGGAGGTCAGGCAAATTATAGCAATCTGACTTCATAATAACAATAATAAAAACTAGTATTTTTAGGAGGCTCACTTGTGCCAGGCACTACACAAATGGCTTTATCAGAGAGATTAGCCAACTGAGACAATGTCACACAGCTAAAAAGTAGTAGTAGATCCTTCATTGAACCTTGCCTATTGACTACAGCCTGTTTTATTATACTTACCCATACCCAATGGATTTACCTAGTCTGACTTTATATATTTTTTTTAAAGACAGAGAGAGAGAGAATTTTTTAATATTTATTTTTTAGTTTTTGGTGGACACAACATCTTTATTTTATTTTTATGTGGTGCTAAGGATTGAAACCAGCGCCCCGCGCATGCGAGGCAAGAGTGCTACCGCTTGAACCACATCCCCAGCCCACTTTATAATTTTTTAATCCCAAAAGGATCTTGCTAGTAATAAGATTTTACAAGATCTGCATCCATTTTCAACTTTTAAAATGACCAATTAAGATGCAATCTACTGTCTGAAAGACAATGGTCTAAAAGTCTGTACTATATAAAGCTGTGTCCATAATTCCTGGAACTGGCTGGTTTTACATATAATTTAGCAACAGGGAAATTTTAAAAGGGGCATAAAATTAAAGTGGACTGAATTCTCTCTTTAAACTATATCTTATGATGTTGCCAAAAATGCCATGTGCAACTAGATGTACATACAATTTCATTATTATTTTTTTCAAATAACAGTTTTGTTTTGTTTTTTTAAGTTTACAGTGGATACTTGCCAGAAAGAACTGGTCTAATTTTAACAAACATGATCCTGGGCCAAATATCATCACCATTCAACATCTACCAATGACAGCTATGAAGTACAGCACCTTATCTCATGAAGTCCTAATACTTCAAAAAAAGAAAAGACTACTTCATTGATCATGAATTGGTCCAATTGAAAACCAGTATAACCTCAGATACTGGAAAGAATCAGACACTAAATCATCAACAGAAGCACTTCTGTAAAGGAGGAGCCTGTAGCTAGTTCAAGGCCATAGCTACTGAGAGTCGGGACCTGGATTCAAAAGACAGGTCTGCCCAGACCTCAGATTCACCTGGGTACTACACCTCAGGATTTGCACCCACCTTCAGCTCTTCACAGAGGAACAAAATTAAACCATGCTGCTTACAAATCTTTTGTGCCTTATTCAATACTTTAATTTTGACTGCCTATCTGCTCTGTGGAGATTATGCTTAATCAACTAGTCAGTCTTCAGTGATTTCACAACTGATATTCTAAGCCTGACATCATTTTATTCACACTTTGAATATTTAAACATCCTTACCATCCCTGTCACTTACCTGGGAAATCATGGTTGATCTCATCCATTTCCAACACAATATCATATGGCACCCCAGCCTCAGCCAGCAGCACATTAAGCTGACCAGGCATTCGGCCTGCAACTGGGTGAATTCCAAACCTAGACAAGAAACAAATGAACAGCTGGCCTTACTTGATAGGCCAAAATGTACAGAGACCAGTATCACCTCCAAATCTGTACACTTTGTTCTTGGCACCTCTGCTTTCTCCTGGTACTATCTGATCTCTTCAAGCAAAAGTAGAATTTGTTCAGATAGATGGTCAATCTACAAAACTGACATTAAAGATTCATGGTTATAGTATACACAAACTATAACTTCCCTCATAAAAATAAGGGTGTAACTGGAATCTGACTCCTTCATATATGTTTTAAGTGCAATGAACCTCAAAAAATATTAATAAATAATATCCTGTCACATTTAAAAACATTATGTTCTCTTATGATACTTTCAGATAAATCCTAAATCTTTTTGGGATTGAAGCCAGGGGTGTTCTACCACTGAACTACATCCCCAGTCTTTTTATTTTGAAATAGTCTCCCTAAGTTGCCCAGGCTGGCCATAAACTTTCAATCCTCCTGTCTTAGTCTCTGAAGTAGTGGGATGACAGGCATGCACCACTACACCCAGCAATAAATCCTAAATCTTTAAAAACATATTAAGCCAACCTGGAATTAAATTTTTCCAATGAAAAATCAACATTATTCCATCAAAAACTGACTCCACATTCAACTTTAACCCTTAAGCTCAAAGGTAGGAAAATAAAATATTGCACATACATGATGTTAAAGGTCCACAATCCTTCAGAGAATGGTATAAAGCATTACTCTGTATCACAGAGGAAATATGATAGTAACACAATGGAACGTTTAACAGACAAGGCTGATTCATAGTGGGGTAGCGAGGGGGAGCATGGGAGGAATAGATGAACTCTAGATAGGGCAGAGGGGTGGGAGGGGAAGGGAGGGGGAATGGGGTTAGAAATGATGGTGAAATGTGATGGACATCATTATCCTAAGTACATGTATAAAGACACGAATTGGTGTGAATATACTTTGTATACAATCAGAGATATGAAAAATTGTGCTGTATATGTGTAATATGAATTGTAATGCATTCCACTGTCATATATGAAAAAATTAATAAAAAAAATTTTAAAGACAATGGATAATACACAATCTGATCTCCACATTTAAGGCAAAGGAAATAAGAACATCAAGTAATTTCTTTCAACCACAGATATAATGGGATTTTTAAAGTTTCTTAATTCAACCTCTTACCCTGTCAGCACAGGGCATGGTGCCTGGCACATAGGAAGGACTCCATGAAAAGCAAATGAATGATCTTTTCACCAAGATGATGCTGAAAGTGAAAAAGGAAGTTCACATCCATCCCAAAGCCAAAACCAAAGCAAAAGCTCTGAAGGCCAAGAAGTTAGTGTTGAAAGGTGTCCACAGCCAGAAGAAAAGCAGATTCACATGTCACCCACTTCTGGCATCCCAAGACACTGAGGCTCCGGAGGCAGTTCAAATACCCTTGGGAAAACACCCACAGGAAAAACAAGATTGACCACTACACCTTCATCAAGATCCCCCTGACCACTGAGTGGACCATGAAGAAGACAGAAGACAACAACACATTCATGCTGATTGTAGATGTCCAGGTCAGCAAGCACCAGGACAAAAAGGCTATGAAGAAGCTCTATGATATTGATGGAGCCAAAGTGAACGGGCCTCATGGAGAGAAGACAGCATATGTTTGACTGGTTATGATGATTATGATGCTTTGGACGTTGCTAACAAAATTAGAATGATCTAAACAGAGTCCAGTTGGCTAACTCTAAGTATACATGTTTTTCAACATTAAAGAAGTGAATGAATGATTAAATTTAATGAACACATTTTATAGTATTACTTAGTTGGGATCCATCCAACTCAAATACAATGATTAGAAATGTACTCCCTTTGGTGAATAGAAACTCCCTTCTAAGGTCTATTCCAATACTAGACCATATGAATATGTGTGTATGTGTATGTGTGTATATTCATTCACATATAGGTATTCATTTATATTAAACCAAAGAAAAATAAATTATGTGTATGTGTGCACATAAACATATTAAGCCAAAGAGAAACCCCGTCTCATTTTTTTCCAAGGTCGGTAGTTTTGCCATATGGAAGTATAATGAATCTATTCCCACCTTTACATGAAGATTCCTTCAACTGTCTCTCGGATGCCGAATAAGCACAACAGCCTCAGTTCTTTCAACAGCTCAATGAATAACAGGCTATCTGAGTCACCTGTTTGACATTGTCTATGTCTACCTGAAACTTCTGAACACCAAAGTACATATAATATGCTGGACATAATCTAGATGCATCAAGGTACAACAAGAAAATCACATCGAAAAATCTTCCATTGGTGAAGCCTAAGTCTTCATTATCATTTATGGCTGCCCCAATACATTGCTGGTTCACACAAAACTTATGGTCATTTAAGATGCTCTGTCATTTTTCACACAAACTTCTACCAAACCAGGCCTTCCTGCTCTTAAAACAGGGGTGGCCTGTTGGAAAGAAATTAAATAGCATGGGTACTGACCCATTCTCAAAAATAAAACCTAAAAAGAGCTAGAAGATGGTCACTTATTTTGCGCAGATAAGTAACAAATGGTTTTTCACATCTTAAAAATCAGTGACAATGAGTTTGAATTATTGGGAAACTTGTAATTGATGGGAAATAGACATCAAGACATGCCCTCTTGGATGCAAATTTCCAAGACGTTTTTTGCTGATGGCATCTTCAAAGCTGAATTAAATGAGTTTCTCACTCAAGAGCTGGCTGAAGATGGCTACTCTGGAGTTGAGGTCCAAGTTATACCAACCAGGACAGAAATCATTATCTCAGCCACCAAGACACAGAATGTTCTTAGAAGGGGTGGCAGAACCAGGAATTGACTACAGTAGTTCAGAAAAAATTTGGCTTCCCTGAGGGCATGTAGAGATTTATGCTGAAAAGGTGGCCACAAGAGGTCTGTGTGCCATTGCCCAGACAGAATCACTGCAATACAAACTCCTAGGAGACCTTGCTATATGGAGGGCCTGCTATGGTGTGCTGCTGTTCATCATGGAGAGTGGGGCCAAGAGCTATGGGGCTATGAGGCCACAGTGTCTGGGAAACTCCAAGGACAGAGAGCTAAATCCATGAAGTTCATGGATAGGCTGATGATCTACAGTGGGGATCCTGTTTCCTACTATATTGACACTGCTGTGCATCATGTGCTGCTCAAACAGGGTGTGCTGGGCATCAAAGTAAAGATCATGCTGCCTGGACTCAAGTGGTAAGATTGTCCCTAAGAAGCCTCTGCTTGACCATATGAGCATCATGGAACCCAAAGATTAAATGCTTTCCATCACCCCCATCTCAGAAAAGAAGGGTAGGAAGCCAGAGCCGCCTGCCATGCCCCAGCTAGTCCCTACTGCATAATAGGGTCTCCTTGGCAGCTGCATCTGGAATCTGGATGTTGCTCTTTAAAGACATTTAATAAAATCTTGTACAAAGACATAAGGCCTGACTAGACTTTCTGTCCAGTATTCAAGCCGAGTTATGTTGGCCTGTCGAACATTACTTATCCTTTTGGTTTCAGCCATATTTGCAGTATTTGCAAGAGCCAAGACTGGAGGAACCAAGCAGAGCTAACCAGAAAAATATCCTGTGACACGGTGAAGACTGGGAGCTGGCAGGGCAGCACCTGGATTAATTATCCTAAAGTTCAAGATTATACGTTTAGAAGAAGAATTTGGTTTGGATGATGGGGACTGAACCTAGGCCTTACACATACTAGAGCATGCACTCCACCACTGAGCTGTGGGAGTCAAAATTGGTTTTTCCTGATGTATAAGGAAATCCATATTGTACATAGAAAGTAAATGCAAATACAGTTTTGTCATACTAAAAAACAAAAAAAGACATTTCCTCTTATCAAACTCCTATCTATGTAATTTTCTACCTGTCATTACTGAATGTTCCAAAATCAGCAATTTATGTTTTAAGAGAAATCGAAACTAGTGCTATAATGAAATGAAACAATTATCTCTAGGCAGAGGTATAATAAGTAATCACTTTTTTGTTCTGCTTTTATATGTGTTTTCAAATATTCTACGAGGATGTATAGTTTTTTTCTTTTTGCAGTACTGGGGATCACACCCAGAGACATGTTACACTAATACTCTGAGCCACATCAACAACCCAAAGTTGTATAGTTTTTATAGTAGGAAAAAAAACAACTTATCATTTGAAATAAATTAACACTTGACACTTTTATATTATGATACAGTTTATAAAGTGATTTCTCACATATTATTTTATCCCATCTCTAATAATCTTTGAGAATCTCCATCTAGAATTGGAATTTAGGCATATGACTCAAACTCAGTTAAATAAATTGGCTTTGGAGCTGTGTTATCTTGTGTCCAAAAAAAGAATGTAAATGAAAAAGATTACTGGCATATGCTTTATAATAATGGCTAAAACTCTTAAAAATGTGCTATATGACTATATGACCATTTTTAGTAAATAGTGAAGATGGGATTCAAGTTAGGGGTGTTTGTTTGTTTAATATACAACAGTTCATGTTTATGAGTACAGTACAAACTTGGGTCTTTCAGTATCAAGGGTCTGAACTCTTAACTACTATAAAAATATAGTCAGCACAATCCTTCAATTTAAGAGATGCTTTTGTTAAAAGTTCAGATTAACCAGTGTGTTACTAGGCAAGCTACTTTATCTCAATTTTCCTGAAGAATATTAAATAGCTATTACTATGAGTCCACATCATGCCAAAGGCTATGGAACTCTTTTTAGACAAGATTTGAGAAAGGCGAATTTATGTGCGCTGGAATGGGTGAAATAATGTTACGGGAAGGGTTTTCTGTTTCAATACAATGTATAATGTTTTTTGAAAACAACAGTGCTCCATAGTTTCAATTTTTCTACAAGCTATACAATTTAAAAAATCATTAAAGACTTGAATAAATGAATATGCTTAAAAGAAAAATGCCTCTTCGTCTGACCCTTTCCGTTACAAAGCAAAACATTTACA